GATCGACAGCGCAAAGTTGTAGTATTTCCTCAGCAACCAGCACGGATCAGCTCCAGGCATGACGAAGCAGGTATCATCCTCTTTTGGAAGGCCAAACAAAGTAGTTTCGCTTTGACAACGAATCACACAGCGCATTCACAACATGGCGGCAGCAACAATACTACAGCGAGAATAAAAGTTACGCCTTCAACGTTAGAAATGTTATACAATGTAAACAAATAAAAACAATATGAAGTAGACTGAATTTGACAAATATTTCACGCGCAGCATACCTGTGTTCCCTCTGGGCCAATCACATCAAGTGCACCAGTTGTGCTGTATAGGAAACGGATAATCTTCTGAAAGTTGTCATCTCCAATACTCCAGGAGCCATCTACAAGGAAGGCCAGGTCTGCCTTGGCTGCTTTGCAAACTGAGAGAGAAAATTCGACAGACAGAGCAAGAGAGAGAGGAAGCAGGTGAAAAATCACTAGCTAAAATAAGAAATTCTCATTACTGTGTAAGCGCTGCAGTACAACAGATGTCAAATGATTCCAAACACTTCCCTTCCTCACTGACAGGATCTCCATCACAGCTAGCTGGATAAAACAAGGAGGCTTAATTAATTCCCATATACCTCTGCTATACTCTGCCAGACTGTTGCTTTGCAGGATTTAGGGCTAAACACATACACTCTCGGTAACCTAAAAATGTGCTTTATGTACTAACATCTAACTGGTTTTATTCATGTCAAAAATATTATTTAGTGACTGAATCAATCTTAATAAATTAGGATATATCAATAAAATTCATTTTAAGGCTGATGTTACATATAAATTCATTTATTTTAAAGTGCTAAATGCCACATACTTACTTCAGTAATAACTGCAAATTATGCATAGTTGCAAGCAACAAACCCTAACCTTAACCCTGTAGTAAGTACTTAGTACATGTAGTTATTTAGTATTACCAGAACTTAATTGTGGAATTGCACTGTAATATCGTCACCTTATAATAAAGGAGTAACCTCAAAAGTCTTACTAGAAGACTTTGCTAATGGAGATAGCAAATTTTTCATATTTTAAAGATGTTTAGGAAAACAAGACCAAATAATTTATTACGATTTTTTTTTTCCCCAGTGGAGGATCATGATCAAAGAATGCTGATAAAATCTGATGAGGCCACATATTGACATCTTTGTTTTTTGTTGCAAATGGCAATTAGGTTTTCAGCTGTTAAAATTTTATTATTTTTATATTTTGTATTACTTTTGTGTTTATTAATGCTTCAGTCAGTCTCATGGAAGCCCATTTCTGCTACAGAAAAAACAAAAACAAAAAAAAAGGTGTAGCATCTAACCTTATTTAACACCCCAGTAAATCTTATTAAGGACAGATGCCCATATTTAATCTACCATGACTAAAAACAAGGTTATAATGGGATAGACAACCATAGAACCAATCCTTCACAGTCTCATATTCATTCACAATTAAATATAGTGTGCACCCTGATTAAAAGTGCCGTGACATGTGAAAGTGACGTGACATGTGGCCAAGTATGGTGACCCATACTCGGAATTAGTGCTCTGCATTTAACCCATCCAAAGTGCACACACACAGCAGTGAACACACACCCGGAGCAGTGGGCAGCCATTTTTTTCTGCGGCGCCCGGGGAGCAGTTGGGGGTTTGGTGCCTTGCTCAAGGGCACCCCAGCCGTGGTATTGAAGGTGGGAGAGAGCGCTGTACATTCACTCCCCCCACCTACAATCCCTGCCAGTATGAGACTCGAACCCACAACCTTTGGGTTACGAGTCCGACTCTCTAACCATTAGGCCACGACATCCCCATGGACTTAAAAGTCTATAGAGTTATTATTGCCATGCAAAATATATAGTTATCAGAGTGTATTTACCAGTGGTTGCCATTGTGGTGACGGCAGGACCCTCTGTGTCCTGTAAAAGACTGTAGACGCTGATCTTGTACTGGGTGTCGGGGGAAAGGTTGAAGAAGCACTCTCTAGATGCACCACCACCGACCCTCACTTCCTGTTTCTGACCGTCTGCGAAAAAAAAAGTTAAAACAGCAGGATTGGCATTCAAGCAACAATCAAAATAAAATAAAATGCAATCACAACAGTGTTCTGAATCAAACAATTGTGCTAATTAATCAGACAGTACCATTCAAGTCCTCAGGCTATAAACGAAGCCTGAAGTTGGAAATGACAGAAGTGGCACCACAGCAGCTCGCCAAAGTGTTGTTATTTTTAACAGGCATGTGTTGTTGCTCACAAACTGGTCGTTTAAATGAAGGGAACTATGAGTAAATCATGTTTTAGGAAATGCGATACTCAAATCCCAGGGTACAAGGTAGCAGAACTGCTATTTATCACCTTCATAGCTGTAATTATTTTCCAAAGCTGAGAAAATGATCAGTGCTTGGTCTCAGGAAGGGTAACCTTGTATTCAGCCCATAAAGTTCAACGGAGAGGTCTTTAATTGTTTTAATCGGAGGCTGAAGACTGCTGGGAAATGGGTGAACCAATGAATGATAAGCAGCCCAAGCTTGGGTTAAATGAAAGAAACCAATATTTTCATTCTTTTCACTTTCTTTTCTTTCTAAATGTGAAGGTGTTCTCGCTGACGCCGACTGTTTTTCTTTCTGGTTTTCTCTTTTTCTACATATCTATCCATCGATTTTTTTTTTGTTTGTTTGTGATGACAGACATTAATATTCAGCTTGACTTGGTTCATACATCTTAATTTGTCTGCCATTAAACAGCTGCATTCATGGGGAATATAACCGGCTGGGCTGTTCAGAAGCAGTATTATATCACTATTAAATAAGAAAAAAACAAGAAAAGGGTTTCCTTTAATAATATATTTCCCAAAGCACCTTCTTTTCAACCATGATCTTAAAGAAAAAGTCTCTGGAGTGCATTATGCAAAAAATTAAGATTTATTAAGTCATTTTCCAATGATAATGTGGACTGCAAAAATTGGAATGTGGTAATAAGATCAACAATATTCCCTTGCTCAGACATGCTTTGATTGCGGAGCTGATCAAACAATGGGATGTGACATTTGCCTATTACATTCCCGCTCTATGGAAAAGTAGCTGGCAAGCGCTCCGGCTCGGCTCAGTAAACATCTATCCTCCTTTAAGCGTTTGTTTCAACAGACTGCACTTCTCAGTCCAGTCACATCTCTGGCACAAGCAGGACAGTTCCTCCCCTTCCTCGCATTTGCACGCAGGAACGCTTCACTTCACCATGAGCGCTCGGTGCAGAAGAGTCATATGTCTGGCTGAAATTCCACAGCCAAATTCTCCCTATGAGTAAGATGGCAAATAAAGAATCCGCTGTTCCTACTGGTTACCAAAGTTTGGACATTATTTGACTAGAAGAACGCCAAAAGGAAGGCAGCGGGGATCTTAGTACTGCAAAATACACATATATTCACACTTAGTCTTCTCACACACTTCAGCAGTAGTTTTTATATATTTTTGCGTAGGCATAGTTTACCATGACTACAGGGTAATAAGCTGTCTCCGTTATTCTTCAATTACAACTTTTTTCTCCACCACTTTTACAAAAATCTTTCTTATTTGGAAAAACAGATTGATTTAAACTATTATATTATATTATATTATATTATTTTATATTCACTTTTAGTTTATAACAGTTTGACAGAATTTCTACATTAGAATTTTTTTTTTCAAAGAAGACTCTTATGCTATCCAAGGCTGCATTTATGTGATCAAAAATACAGTAAAAACTGTAAGATTCATTCTAATATGCAACCTTCATTCTAATATGCTGATTTGGTGCTCAAGAAACATTTCTTATTATTATTAAGGTTGAAAGCATTCGTGCAACAGCTTAATATTTTTATGATAACCATAACACACTGTGATTTATTTTTTCCAGGATACTTTGATGAATAGAAAGTTCAAAAGAACAGCATTTATTTGAAACAGAAATCTTCTGTAACATTTTAAATGTCTTTACTGTCATTTTGGTCAATTTAATGTACCCTTGCTGGATAAATGTATTATTATTTTTTTAAAGGTAGTTATTGGAAATTACTTTAAATGTTAAAATAAGATTATATCTCAGCAAGGGCAGAATTTGAACACCAGAATTATACTTATTATTTTTAGATTATGATCTGAAAGTCATTATCAACACAGGTAACATTTGAGAATTTAATTTTCAGGATTTGACAGTTAAGAATAAACTGAAAAATAACTGAAGATTTCTATATCCCTTCTATAATGTTTCTCTGAGAACTGCAATAACTGTCATTCAAATACTTCATACACAGGCACACACACACTAGGGCTTCAGGCAGGATCTGGTTTTAATAGCATCACTGAGCTGGTAGCCATCTGAGCAGTCACACGCTGGAAGGGGAACAGAAGATGTCCAGGATTGCGTGATAAGCTGGGCCGGTGAAGTATCAGGCAGGAATAAGAAAAGCAATAACGGGAAAAGGGCTTTTGACTCTGCTGTTTTAAATTTGAATCGAAACCATGTCACACGCCAGCAGAGCAATATGCATACAGTAAAAAAGTTTTGTTGAACAGCCCAGAGGCTCAGAGGTCTGTGCTGAAATGAGCCATAATATCCCATTACCTCTGAAATGGAAATTTATGTCAATATTGCAAAACAGGAAGCCACCTTATGGCTTTGTTCTGCAATGCATTAACAATGTGTGTATGTGTGTGTGTGTGTGTGTGTATCACTCACTGAGCAGTGACTCAATGACGACTCTGTAGACGGTGGCGTGGCGGTGAGGTTGCCACTGGGCACACATGCTGCTACTGAGCACCTGGTATGTGCTGAGACTGTTCACCCCCAGAAACACTGCAAGGGGAAGAAGAAAACAGATATCTTGAAACAAGATGAATTTAGTGGAAAAGCAAAACTAAGATACTTTGAAAAATCAATGGGGGGCCTTCTTTTGTGTTCAGCAGAAGAAAGAAAGTCATACAGGTTTGGAACATGATGGTGAGTAAATGATAACAGAATGTTCTTGTTTTGTGAACTATCCATTTAAGCTATGACTAGGAGGAAAGCATTTTAATTTAAAATGTAACTTATGCAGTGTTGCTTCTTAGTTAAATTAATCTTGTTTTAAGTACATTTTCATTGGAAAGAAGATCAGTGTAACATGTGAATCCATTATATAAACTACCATACAAATGTTTGGGGTCAGCAAAATTTGTATTTATTTATTTATTGATAAGAAAAGATGCGTTAAATTGATCAAAAGTAACTATAAAGACATTTACAATGTTACAAAAGATTTTATATTTAAAAAAAAAATGCTTTTGAGCTTTCTATTCGTCAAAGAATCCTGAAAAAAGTATCACGGTTTCCACAAAAAATCAAAATAAAAAAATGACACGGCAACTGTTTTCAAAATTGATAACAAACAATAAATAAATAAATAGTAATAATAAATTACTTTTTTTTTTTTTTTTTTTATCCACCAAATCAGTATATTAGAATTTTTGATTAAATAAATACAGGCTTCGTGAGCATAAAATACTTTCAAAATTATTTTAAAAATTACAGACCCCAAACTTTTGAACAGTATAACAGTGTACTAAACCTGTATGAAAGCTTTGAAATGTACACGTTGGTGGGTAGTGAGAGCAAAGCCTTGATCGTTGCTTCTCTAATGTAGTCTAATGTTCTGAAATGAAAAGCAGCACATGTATTACAGTAATGGCTAATGAGCCATAGGGTTGCCAGCAGCTACTTTGAGCTGCAGGTTATGGGGTAAAACCTGTAGGCTTCACTTCTCTCGAAACCAGCACCCTATTTCTGATCTCCTCAGATTTCTGTGCGATACTCTTTAAATACTGCAAGTTAGGCAAACCTAATGGCTAGAAAAACACATCTGAGAGGAAAACAAGAGGTTCAAACTGCATTCTTAACAAATACGCTCTCCACTTAAAAGCCACAAATGGCCTTAACCATTTCTTTCTTTATTTTCCTTTTTCTCTTTGTGCAAACCACACAAAATGTGCTGTGTGAAAGAAAACTCTTTTAAAAGCCAAAAAAATAGGCTTATTTTGGAATTATCACGTTTTTGTTCAGCAAAACACAAGCCAAAGCCACAGCACATGGTCTACATTAGTCACACAAAACAATACTCATCTTTGGAGCTTGTAGTATTTGGAACAGAAGCACAATTGTGGCCGTGTTGCAACAAATGGAGTCCCACGCATTTTATACGCCAAAAGTTGTGGCGAACCCAAAGTCTGCTTGTACTGGAAAAGTTCCATATGGTGGGACACTGTCCTCCTTTGAGCCTTGATATGAGAGCCAGATCTTAAAAAGGAACTACTTACGCAATCAAGCTGTCCATTGAAATTCACGCTACACAACAGAACATCATGTCAGTCGTGTTTGAGACTTGGAGATTTTAGATTAAAACGGAGACTGTGCACAAAACATATGGGGCACAGTGGTGGTGATTCTTTTAAGGTTTTGAATAATGCATGTGACAAGCTTTCCTCCTTATATAAACTATTTTAATGAACTATATGCATGCAAAAAGGACCTCTGGCTGATAGTACTAATATAAGGAGGTGGAAATCCATTATTGTGCATTCAATTATTCAAAGGTCAAACAGAAAACGTATGAAAAATTGATGGACCCCATTGAGCAGGCGATATGCAGATGTCATGTAGGGTGAGACAATATGGGTGTGAAAAGAATTATCACCCATGCTAGAAACTGAGATTGAATGGAAGTCCTTTAGCACGTTTTGTCCGTGCTTAATGGCACTATCGGGGTGTCATAACATCTGTGACATGCAGAGATGTCATGCTCATTTAAACTGAGACGGCATGTGCCCCTTTTAGATTTGTGAGCCAAATGGACTCTGAATGCTACTTCCAAAAAAGTGTATGTGGTATAATTTATAATAATAAAGTAAGCAAGATTATGGTATGTAAAAAGTGCTGTGTGCTGTGTTACTATTATTTGATTAGCTGCAATTTTGCTAGGCTACATAAATAAAAATATATAAATTATAATACATACAAACTTGACTAACATTTATTAAGATTTTCCACATAGGGCTGTCACGGTGAGGGAATTTCCCTTGCGGTAATTTTGAGTGGCTCAATAGCGCGGTATGCGGAATTATCGCCATACATATACATATATATATATATATTGTATATGTATGGCGCACACACACACACACATATATATATATATATATATATATATATAAAAT